CTGTAGCCACACTAGCCATAGCACAAGCTACAAGGATTTAGACCATCGTTTAACAGAAACCAAGAAGCAGACAGCTCTGAAAAGAGCTATATTATTCAACGTTTTTGACCACCTCTGTTAACACAGACAGCTCTGAGAAGAGCTATTTTATTTCACGTTTTTGATATGCTCTGTTAACACAGAAAGCTCTGAAAAGAGCTATTTTGCTGAACGTTTTTGATCTTCTGTCTACAAGAGACGAAGTAACTCGCCGACGCCGCTGCCAGTATCACGCGCCGACCAACGCGCGTAGGTATCGCAGCGCGGCACGGCGCACGGCGTTTACATCTTCACGGCTCGACGGTCGCAGGAGGAAAGGACAGAGGCACGCGTTACGCAATATTTATAGCGGCGCGAAACTCAGCGCGCGGCGCTGCGGAGGCGCGTCCTCTTTGCACGGACCTCTCACTCATCGACTATCTCGCTCTTTTATCGGCTATCCTTTTCTTTCCATTGTTCACATTGTAAATAAAGTTCTGTCCTAAATAGTGTAACGCTATTGGCTATAATTTAGGCGATGTTATTGGTGTACAAATTTCTAAATTTTATTTATTTTTAATTTAATAGTTTTAATTGGTTAATGTACAGAATTAGTTGTAAGTAGCACTAGTACCAATTTTTGTATAAAAACAACCACCTCCGGCTAATAAATTCATTCGATCTACGACAACAAGTTGTTTCACTAATAACAACCGATCTCCAAAAGAGTATATTTTTTCTTTGTACACAGAACCGATAGCCTTGGACTACCGAACAGTTGTTTGTCCGTTCATTGACGTGATTGCATACGACACGTTTGAGTACCGCGCGCAAGATGAAGGCGCCAGAGGTGCTTTTGATTGGGAGTTCTTCTACAAACGGCTGCCTATACTGCCCAAGGACGAAAAGAATATGCCTGAACCTTTCGAGTGAGTAATATCTTTTTCTTATCTTTACGTGTATTCATATTATTGTCCTATGTATTAGCTTTATATTACACATAGAAATGTAAAATAAACCTTGAATTTCGAGTACATTTCTATATTATTAGAATTGATAACATCTTGTTAAATTACTTTTGTTGTATCAGTTTTCTGATATCTTATGCAACACAAATGTACCTATACTAAACAGTATTAGATAACTTATCTAGGAATTAAAAACAAATGCATGTAAATCAGCGTAAACTAGGTTAAGTAACATTTTCATACCAAAATAGATAGTATTGCTTTGGAATAACGGTTAATTTGCTTGAGTGACTGTAAGTCTCATTTTTATGGGTGTTAACTTGGTTGGATATACTTATTTGTCGTTAATGCACTTATTTGTTAAGTTTTATTGGTTGTAATGCACTCTCCTAGATAGTTAGACAATGACTCAACTCATCATACCGAAAAATTGAACGATTTTATCTAGATTAGTCAATACTTATGTCATAGTCTTTTGTAACCAAGATATTGACTTAAGGCACGACTAGACGATCGAACCGAACCGTCATCGTACCGTCAATTTGATTCAGCGGTCCCGTGGTATCCATTGAAAATGTGCGACGGACCGCTGTACACACTATCAAATATGGTCCGGAGCAGATCACAGTGACGATTCGATTCGATCGTCTAGTTGGGTTTTAACGGTTGAGGTTTATAACCGAACGTATTCCAATATCGATTCACGTTTTAGACAGTTGCGATAAAACTAATTAAGATTAAATAGAAAGAATTGAAACTGAATAGGAAACAGTGAAAACCTTACTGTGAAATTTTGATGTTAGGGAATAATAATATGTAACCTAAATATATAAGCTTTATAAAGCTTTGAACCATGGGAGTATGGGGACCACTAATAAAAGAGAGAAATTCATTATGACGCAAAAACAATTATGCAGAAGGGACATTGAAGTAAACTTACTTCTTTTAGATATACGGAATTATTTTTTTGTGAGCTAGTAACTAAATGGCGATTTTTATTTCAAAATTTACAATATAGCAATAGGTTTTTCCATATCATAAAAGGGTCAGTAATACGAACTCGTTGGTTTAACATACTGGTAAATAAAATAACAAGTAAGCATCATACATTGTTACTATCGAAACTTGTGACGATTGTTATCGGAAACATTAAAAAATTCAATTATAATTATGAAGTACGGTAATTGTAAAATGATAATCCGATTAATGTAGTTATATGAAATTATGGAAAATTAACAATTAATAATGATGATATCATGGTAGTTAGTGCTAATTCAATATTTTTTTTTGCACAAAGATTACGTATCTTGATGTTCTAAGTTTATATTATAATTTTCGTTCGCGAGACATACTAAAATTAATTATTATGTTTTTCGGTTTATTCACGTAATTATTTGACGAAGAAGTCGATTAGTTTCAAGTCATACTAGAAGCTCATATTAATGAGCAGCATTCCGCGACCCTCGCACGTGACTCCAAGAAGCCGCCGAAAAACAGTTCTAAGTTGTTGGCAACTGTTGCTTGAACTGGACAAGAATCTATTTTCTAAAAACAGCTTGTGATTCATCACAGCTGGTTAAAAACTAATGTTATAAATGGGGAAATGTGTGTGTCTGTTTATTTGTCTGTCTTTCATGGCAAAATGAAGCATTGAATTAATGTGATTTTATTAATTAACGTGATTAAGTAGCTCTAGATAATTGAGGGTATGGAGGAACATAATATGCTATTTTTTATTTCATTCAAACCCATTATTACGCAATTATGTAGGTCCACCTAGCTTTCCAAAGCTAAAAATTGGTATGCGTATTATTTGTGACTATCAAAAAAATCCCCAACAATCCTAAAATTCCTAATCCTCAAAGGGCTGGAAACGCACTTGTAACGCCTTTGGTGTTGCGGATGTCCATGGGCGATGCCGATTGCTTACCATAACATTACATCACGCCTTTTATCCCCGAAAGGGTAGGCAGAGGTGCACACAGAAGTAACACCCACTTTTCACTATTTTATGTTTGCGATTGCTTACCATCAGGTGATATGTCTGCTCGTTTATCGCCTAACCCAATAAAAAATGGTGCATCTGTGTTTTTCATTAAAACATTGTGTTACGAGTATTAGGTAGGAGCCGAGTATTGGTAGAAAGCATGCGAGTGTAGTTAGTAAAGATATAATTGTTCCAAATTGAGTGTATTTCGACTATTGATATATTTTGATATACTATAATGACTTTTGATTATACATAACATAACATCACGCCTTTTTATCCCCGAAGGGATAGGCAGAGGTGCACATTACGACACTTAATGCCACTATACAATGAAACATCCACTTTTCACTATTTATGTTATGAGTCCCATGAAAGAGGGTGTGTGCCTATTTCCATATACCGGGCATAATTCCAGACTCCGTGCTACTACTGAAAGAAGAAGAAAGAAAGAAAGAAAGAAACGCCGACTCGGGAATCGAACCGGAGACCCCGGCAGTCGCACTTGCGATCACTCGGCCAACGAGGCAGTCATAAAAATAAATATTAGCAGTAAATATTACATCTTAAACTGTCAAACACCAAGCGGTCACCGGTGACCGCAACCTATTGCTCTATAATTGTGTCTACAAAACCGGTACTCGACGAGTTAATAGTAATAATGCTTTGTAAATTGCCTAACTCACTTATAAACTATTTGTACACCAATTTCATTGGTAGAACATGGACATGCTATTAATGTATATTTAACAGTTTTAACACCCCTCTGTATTACCTGTGTTCATAAATAAATTGATTTATTTATGAATGTGGTGTGATATGTCAATATGGCGAAAAATATGTGCACTATATTTTTGCGTTAGGTTTTCCTAATAACAATAATATCCAACAGTTTGGTGAGCCAATCGGTTGATTTAATTTGTCACTTTCCTTGTAGGAGTCCTGTAATGGCCGGTGGCTTATTCGCAATATCGCGCAAGTTTTTCTGGGAGCTCGGTGGATACGATCCTGGTTTGGACATCTGGGGGGGAGAGCAGTACGAGCTTAGTTTTAAGGTATGTGAATGTCCTTCATGTATAGATTTAAGTTCAAAAGCAGTTTTGTATCCTTTTTCAATTAATAAACAATTATTTTAACTAATGTTTATTGGTTAATGATTATGTAGAAAGAACATAAGGAAGGTAATAAGTTTTAGTATCCTTAATTAATTATTATAGAGTACTTATTTTACTGTGAAATATCGGAAAGTCAAAATAGAATATATTTGACCGCTGGATGTTCGGATTCTAGTTGTTATTATTATACGCCACGAACACTTATACTGTACCCCGTTATTTAATTGATTTATATATGGATAAAGATGTAATATTAGTTGTACATGTTTGGTTACAGATATGGCAATGCGGTGGTCGCATGATAGACGCGCCATGTTCCCGCGTCGGTCACATCTACCGCAAGTTCGCGCCCTTCCCCAATCCTGGACATGGTGACTTTGTGGGCAAAGTATGTGGACTTCATATTAAAAGATAATCTAATTGGGACCCAATAATAATTTTATTTAGAAATGCTATATTCTGCTCCACGCCACTGCATAGTTTATTTTATTAATAGACTAGCGACCCGCCCCGGCTTCGCACGGGTGCAATATGCATTTTTTATATATATAAACCTTCCTTAAGAATCACTCTATCTATTAAACAAAACCACGTCAAAATCAGTTGCGTAGTTTTAAAGATCTAAGTATATACCTCTATAGGGACAGAGAGACGGCGGATAGCGACTTTGTTTTATACTATGTACCTAGTAGTTTTACTCGACGTGCAGGAGAAGGAACGGGGTGGTTTTTAGTCAGTAAGAGTCTGACACTCCCTCCCGCCTCACCCAGGCGGGAGCAGTCATTTGATGATTTTTCCCCAATATAAAAAAAACTATTAAAAAAAACCGCATCAAAATCAGTTGCGTAGTTTTAAAGATACATGCATACATGGCGACCGACAGACGACGGATAGCAACTTTGTTTTATTTTTATTTTTTAATTATTTTTCCAGAATTACCGCCGTGTAGCCGAAGTGTGGATGGACGAGTACGCGCAGTTTCTGTACGCAAGACGTCCTCACTACCGGACCATTGATCCAGGCGACATCTCCGAACAGAAGGCGCTGCGAGAGCGACTGCAATGCAAGTCTTTTAGGTGGTTCATGACGCAGGTAAGCATTATTATAATTAGGATAAATCGAGATAGAAGAGATGGTTAACACCAAAAAATAGGAATAATTGGGTACTTGATAAATCAAAAATAAATTATTTCGACTGTTCAATACAATAATTGACTTCTTTTTTATTTAATTTTAGTATTTAACCAGCAAATTTTTAAGAAATAAGTATGCTGTTTGACGATTAAAAAACGTGACGTCACAATACACAATCTCGTACAAAATTCATAGAAAACTGTCTTTTTTGTCAGTTCGAAAAAAGTATTGAATTTGATTAGTTGGCAAGTACCAAATTGAACATATAATGGAAATCTTGAAACAAACAATTGGTAAGCAATCGGGGCCACCCATGGAGACTGGCGACACGAGATAACTTATATGGGCATAGCTGACCTTCCAAATGGATTTCAGCCTCTAAGCGATAGTTAGTTTTTGAATCTTATTCAGTGCTTCTCTTGAAATACGAGTTAGTAAGTTACGTTAAGTACTGTATTCTTTTTTTATTATGAATACAATATAAATGATGATGTATGTACATACATAAGTTTGTGATTATATATACCTATATTTTTTCAGATCGCATTTGATCTAACAGCCAAGTACCCGACGATAGAGCCGAAACCATTCGCTAAAGGACGTGTAAGTAACTTGTATTTATAAATAATCTAGCTCAATAAATATGACAAGTCAGCCACTGTTCTCGTGAATATGTTCCTGTGTTTCTTCTTTGAGTAGTCAGTTAGAAAATGACCAATTTATCTAATTAAATGACTGCCTCGTTGGCCGAGTGGTCGCAAGTGCGACTGATGGGAAAGGGGTCTCGGGGTTCGATTCCCAAGTCGGGCAAAGTATTATTGGGTTTTTAAAATATCTCAGTAGTAGCACGGGGTCTGGATTTGTGCTCTGATTTGTATATAGGCTCACGCCCTATTACATGGGACTCATAACATAAATAGTGAAAGGTGGGTGTTACGTTGTACAGTAATTTGCATCTCTGACTACCCCTTCGGGGATAAAGGGCGTGATGTTATGTGAGAAGCGACCTGCCTCCAACGAGATTAGCTAGGTTTGATTAGATTGTAGATAGATTTATTTAGTAAATAATAATAATTTAATATCTTCTACCAGAGGCTTCACACGCGGCCCCGTGGAATGAAAATGTGTCAGTGTGATATTCTAAATAACAAAGAAATAAATTAACCCCTGTTAGAAATTTCATCCCGATCCCTTCAACCGTTTTGACGTGAAGGAGAAAGAAATATATACTTTCGCATTTTATTATTAGGAATTTGTATAATATCTAATGTATGTTATATATTATATGTCCAGGTGCGACCAGTAGCCAATCCGAACGTATGTATAGACGCGCGCGACGGTGAGAAGCTCGAGAGACTGAGCATCACAGACTGTGCTGACGTCATCGACCCTGAACAGAACTACATCTTCTCCTGGCATAAGGATGTCAAGTCAGTATTCTTAGTCATTCTCATTTTTTGCTAGAAGAGTCACGCTTAGAGACGAACGGGTCGGCTCATCCGATTACTTGCGATTTATGCAGCCGTAAACACTTGTAACGTACATACTACTCCCCCGTCTCACACGCTTGGCTCGGCTCCTATTAATATTAACGTCTTGTACAGCCAATAGTCTTCCTCGATAAATGGACTATCTAACACAAAAATAATTATTCAATTCGAGCCAGTAGTTCCCGAGATTAGCGCGTTCAAACAAACAAACAAACAAACAAACTCTTCAGTTATACTATATGTAATAAGTAAGTATAAGATATTATTAATGTATGTATTGTGTTGCCAGAGTGTTATCCCGCAACATGTGTTGGGATCTCCCCGAGACCGCGGCACAGAGTCCTATAAAGCTGTTCTCCTGCCATCTTGGTGGTGGCAATCAGTTGTGGAGGTACCTAACGGTATGTAGCTTTTTGTGAATTTATTGAGCACTCCCATATTTAGACGGTTGTTGAGATAATGTTAAAGTCTAATTTTTTATATTGGGTCAAGGTAACTTCAACATCCATTGTTCCTCTGCCCATGTTTATATCAACAGCTTATAAATGCCCACTGATGAGCAAAGCCTCTTCTCGCACGGAGAAGGTTTGAGCATTAATCACCACGCTTGCTCATTGCGGGTTGGTGATTTTAAACTTATAATTAAAATTATAAGTCAAACCTGGAGTCCACGATATTTTCCTTCATCATTTGTCAGTGGCGTCTAAATAATCTTAGAAAGTACATGTCACTCGGGAAAAGTCACATTTGTACTTGCCGTTGTTAAGTTTCGAACCCGCACCCTCATGTATGAGAAGCGGGTATCTTAAACCTGGCCACCACGACACCTCGCCCATATTTATCATGGGTTAGTTTATTGAATGGTCTCAATTTTGTACTGAGCATCTCGAACTATGAAAATTTTAATAATAATTTGATAGATTTAAATCTGACATCACATGCTTAGCAGTTGCACTAACGTTTTTAAAAACATCTATTTACGTCTCTCATGGACAAAAATACTTTTACAGGACACGAAACAAATAAAGCATGGTTCAGGCGAACATTGCATAGACTGGAATCAAAGAACAAGAGACCTATTTATCAACACCTGTGACCTTGCCAGCGAAACCCAGCGGTGGACAGTTGACATCGTGGACAACGAAATGATGGCCAAGTGGAGCTTAGCCAAGACCAGAGTCACTGGACCTATAGAAGACCCCTAAACAACAAGTAAGATCCTACGTATTTTGTAAAAGTTGGGTAATATTTCTGTTAATAGTAAAACATTTTAATTGTTTATTAAGACGTGGTTTAGTATGTCAGTCTTGTTTGGTTTTTAAACTGATATTATACAAGGAGGTGTTAAATAAACGCATAACGATATAAATGGATGTTCAGGCCTTACAAGTATTGATTATTATTAATGTTGACATTAGAAATTCAAAATGATTTATAATTGACATAAAAATGTTTATAGATTAAAAATAATATTTGAATTCTTGTATTTTAAAGGTTTTGCGTTTTTTATGTTACATCTTGTAGAGAAATACGTATCTAGAGAGCTTTTCTTGGCATTATATAAATGTAGATGATTCTACAGAATTAAAAGTGTCAGTTTGTACATATTACATGGGGACTTTTGTACTATTGACCTTAAAGTTTTGTAACAAAGTCGAAAATGAATTAATTTCAGTTTAGAGTCGCCATGTGTTGGAGAAATAAACATTGGTTTGCAAAATTTTACCAAAAAGTGGTTATTTTTAGGTTCAATATTACTAGTCTAGGTTTGTAGAATGTGAAATTGTAAATAGTTAGGGTTTTTTTGTTAGGGTAGAATATGCAATGTTGCCCGCGGTCGCATTTATACTCGGTAGCTATGTGTCGACTTCGAAATTATAAGATAATATACACATAAATATATGACTAGATCTAGATGAGAGATGACATTAAATAAATATAAAATGTGTCGTCTTAACTAAGACGACACATTTTACGGTGTAACTACACCATGTATAACTCCAGAACGGCTGGACCGAATTTAATGATCTTTGCTATGTTCTAAATATTTTTCGTTCCAAATAATATAAATATATCATTAAATTAATTTCGATGCATTCAAACATTCCATTTAGGTAGCCTAATATGGACAATTGAACTGTGAACACGAATGTTCCTGGAATATTTTAAACCCCATTATTATAACATTCCATCACTATTTCAAATATTTTTATATATAAAACTCGTGATGACAATCTTTAGGGAAAAAATAGAAAGTTCTTGGTGCTATTACTGAGTTGTATAATATAAATCCATAATAATATTAGTATTATTTATCAATTTAACTACCTATATTATCTTTTTTAAATGAACATTTTGATACAATATATCAATATTCAGACTTTTTTTATGAAATGACTGATTTTATATATTGAAGACGTCAACTTATTTTTAAATTAATGCACTACTGCAAGTGTTCGCTTTTAGTCACTACGTTTATGAAATAAAATTTAATTTGTTTAAATGTAGCTGTTATAATAACTAGTATTAGAATTATGTATATTTTTTATTTAAATTATTTATGAATTTGTATGCTAATTGTCGCCATTTTGTCATTGTGTAAACGTTATTTCAAACTGCCAGTGTAATTGAAGAGGCTTGATAGAATAAACAGGATATTGTCTATAGAAAACTTATTCAGTTATGATTGTGTAAAATCTATCTAGTCTTTGACTTTCTGTTAACAATGGTTGGTATTAAACCATCCTGTGTCTAAACGTGGATCCACGCGAGACAATGTATTTTCTATTGTCTTATATACGGGCATTCATACGGTTAACATAACTGGCCATTTTGTTTCATATTATATGTTCTGATTGTTCTATAAATTTGAGATATTTTATTTAACTGCACCTGTACTAAATAACGGTGGTTTATGAACTTGACATTCAGTTAATTCCAAAAGAGTTTAGCATAATATTATTATAGTAATATAAATATTATTAATTTGCTGCATTTTCGTCTAAAAAAGTCGAGAGCATAATTATTAGTCATCTTAGAAAATTATTTAATTTATGTATAACGTAGGAAGAAATATTTTGTTAATAAAGATAGATATTGATAGTGTCCATACAAATTAAAGTAGAATATTTATTCGTAAAAGAGTTATATTTAAATCTATTTGAGTAAATTTCCTGTAAACTCAGTGACTGGTAATGTTCAAAATTTACTAAAATCGCTTTATCGTTTTTTTTATGAATAGCATAACAATACATCACGCCTTTTAATCTCAAAAGGAATAGACAGAGGTGCACACCGTCAGTGTGATTATGAATATGCTAAAATTGTAATAGTAATATTAAAATGTATACTGTAATTAATAGTAGTAGATAAATATATTGATGTCATATAAATTGTAGGTAGTAATTATGACTTCCAAATGTAAATTAGAATGTATTTTTAATACGCGCTTTAAGAGGCAAAGGTAGGCCTTAGTCGCCATTGAATGGTCATTTTTGTATGAGGTATGATGTCACGGTAGATTATTACCATGGCTATGATTGGGTGATAGTTGCCAAATAAGTATGTAAAAGTCGATTCTGTTGTACGGCATTGTATTAATCGCGAGCCACGACACGATCTGTGCATCAAATGGATTATAAGAAGCTAGTATGAAACGAAGTTATTGATAAAAATAAAATATATTATAATTATAAGACTATTTTGCTTACATTTATTTACTAAAAACTGTTACGAATAAAAACAAACAGTTTTCAATACTTATAGTTACAAATGCTACTTCGAAAGGATTATGCTGTCTAGCAACTGATTATTGGAACTACAGTGATTATCGTGAATTAACCCCGTGCTCCGTAATTTTTATATTTTTAGTTGTAAATATTTTATTTATTAAACAAAGTGTATGCAATTGATTTTGAATTACATTTGAATCAAGAGAAAGCTTATATTGTTTTAATTAAATGTTAGATTCTTGAGACATTTGTATATTATGTATTAAATTTGACTTTGTCGTACAACAGAATGGGTGTGTTTAGAAAATGCTTTGTATGTCGTTCAAGCTATCACTTCGCATTTTGTACAACATAGGCTATCGTGTAGTAATATTATAGTAAACAAGATATATTCGTTGTGCTAATATTTTTTGTATATAACTATTATTGATTTGTTTGTTTAAACGAGTCTATTCCATTGTGAAACATATCACTAGTTGTATATAAGCACCTAAAGGAGAATGGCAGGTTTGTATGGAGGTTTGGTACCGCTATAAAATTTTGTATTTGTCATTGTTTTAACCAAGTGAATGGTCTGAACGATAGATATTTTTATTATGAAGTTTAGAAAAAAATTACATATTTTTAGAACTTCGGGTTCAAAAGTTATTTCACTTTGAAAATGTGCAGAAGGTACGTAAAGGCGGTATTACACTTGCCATTGCGTATTCGCTTCATTTGTACAAATATTTGTGAACTACGTACAAATGGCGTCCAAATAGTATCTATAAATGTAAAAGCGTGCAAATATACGTATATAGCAAATGAAGACGAATAAACCCTCCACACATGGTCTGTTTTGGCCGTACACAACAAATACGCAATGTCAAGTATAATGCCACCTTTACGCAAAAGTACATAATATGACAAATGACAGATGACAGTTAATTGAAAAATGTCAATGTTGACTTATTTTTTATTTGGTTGTTTTGTTTACAAACTAAACTCTAAACACTGCTCGCTACTCGTGACTGTTACACTTTGTATTATGAGTAAATTAATTAACTGTTAATTCAGCAAGTATGCTGTAACTATAGAGTTTTACAGAGTATGCTTTACAATCTCTTTCATTTACTAGGTGCCTACGAAAATGCAAATTAATATTGTGAGCGACTGTCATTGGGTAGAAGGCCTACATTTAGCAGTGGACGTCTTTTGGCGGATATGATAAAACTAATGTCTCACTTCACCTTGAATCTTGCGGGCAGATGCAAGATTTAATGTGTAAAATCAAGATTCGAGGCAGAGGCCTGATATACAAATAGTCTTTAAGTTAATTCGATTTAAACTTAAGCGTAGCTCTTTGAGAAAGTATTTCTTCTGAAAACTGGTTGCTTAGCAAGCGTTTTAAGGTTTAATTTCTAATAAGTAAGTCAAATAAGTAAAATCATCATCAGTTTCATCATTAAGTCTATAAGTGGCCCATGCCGACCGAAGGTCTCTTCTCACTGGATTAGGTTTAAGCATTAACTCGTTGAGTACCGTAATTATAGACACAATTAAAGAACAATAGGTTGTGGTCATCGGTGACCGCTCTGTGTTTGACAGTTTAATCAGTACGCTAGCTTAATGTGGGTTGGTGATTTCAAACTTATAATTAGAAATTATAAGCCCAGGTTTCCTCACAATGTTTTCCTTCACCGTTTGTCAGTGGTGTCTTTGTACTTTCTTAGATTATTAAATAATAAATAAAAAATATATATACATAACTCGAAAAAGTCACATTGGTACTTTGCCGTTGCAACTTGCACTCTCATGCATGAGAAACGGGCTTCTTAAACCTCCTGGCCACCACAACACAAGTAAAGAAATGTAAAATGAAAATGAACATTTTTGGTATAAAACTAAAGCAATCTAAAATAAAGATGGCATTTATTTTATAGATTGTTTATATATAGTTACTAGGTACCTGTTTAAAATAAAACAAATGTATTATTTTGAAATACTTTTATTTCATTGTATTTAGGTTGTTTCTAGGAGTACTTCTTCTAAAAAGAGAGCAGGCGGTGTCATACAGCACACACTTCATTAATTGCTGATATCTGTAAACAAGTAAGATAACTGTAAATAAAGTAAACAAAACAACATTTTTTCCATTAGTTTCACATGTTATAATTCTGATTCCCTATCTCAAAATAGAAAAGATAAAAATAAATATTTGATTACATTATTTGATTTTACAATGTTAAAATGCCTTTAACTCGTCGAGTACCATCATTATAGACACAATTATAGAACAATAGGTTGCGGTCACCGGTGACCGCTTGGTGTTTGACAGTTTAATAGGGTATTCCTATAACACACATCATAGGAGCTCAAACAGCATGCTAATTAATCAATTATTATAATTATAACATGTGTATAAACCTATTATAAACCGGTTATACACTTCACATACCTATTGAAGCTCTGACAGCCGATCAACATCTTCTGGCCTCATCTGTTCTACAAACGGCAATGTTAAAGTGAGGCTTAGTCCATGTTTACATAACACATTACATCCTGATAGTGAACACTATGAGGTGGTATGTCAGGTTGTGGTCTTATAGATCCGACTCTTGTTAAGGCTCTCAGCCAGCATGGAACACGATCTTCATCATTGGAAGTAAGCTAAAAAAAGTAATATTATTAGAATGTCATATTGACTTTAAATTATATGATAATAGTATATGGTTAATACAATAAATTATTACCTTTCGTGGCTGAATCCAATCAGATACTATATGAGCTAGTCTTTGCTCCTGTTCGTTGGCGCCTTCAATTAAACCCCTGCGTCACCTTATCCTTGCAATGGAATGCCCACATACGACACAGACATGTCAATGATCAGTTTGTTTGCTGGACATACTTTCAGGAACATCCCAATACATTGCTAATTGCCAGCAAGCATGGCAAATATGGTCGGTAGGAGAGATCTAGAATAAAATGATACATTATAGGTAGATAACACTATGCCCCCTTTATTTAGGCAACAAGGTGACTTTCGATACGTCATGTGTAATTATAGGTAAGTACCTACTTACATCTCTAGGATAAGTCCACAATGGGATATTGTTGACCACGTCTAGTCTTCACTCTCATTTCCTAGAGCATGCCGTCTCATGCGACAAACTCTGGTTGTAATTAATGCACTGTAAATTCGTCATCGCGACAAAATACAACACACTATGCACAAATGAAAATAAGTGTATTTTCGCAATTTCGGCTACGGAGGAACGGCTGCCCAACTCAAAGTATCACCAGATGAATAAAATGACTTCCAATTTGTACAAACACATCATAACACCGCATTCGAAACCAACAGCAAGGCGCACTTGACATTGACAAATCGTCTTCAACAACAAATGTCAAATACCAGTTCAACATTGCCATATTCAAGTTTGTGAAAATGTTAATTATCGTTAATAATCCATGTAGACCTCACAAAATGAAATTAAAATAATGATATTTACTTATAAAAAATGTTTGAAATGGAAAGGAAAATATTCCATTGATATTAAAATAAATGAGTTTATGAAATAGCGACATTCAATATACTCTGATTTCATGTTTACGCATGGCAACTTTATAAACGTCAATCGCGGTTTGTTTTTATTTAATATGTAGCCGTTTTGTTGATTGCTTCTTATCATTATTGAATATGAGATTTTCTAGGGCTTCCCAAGTTCTAAAAATCTATTAAATATGCTAACATAACGTATTTAGAGGATTCTATAGCTACCCAATTGCCCAAGGCAAAACAATGACAAATCTTTTTTTAGCAAAGCGGTACGAAATCTGCCGTTCTCCTTTATTTGTATATGAAATAAATTATTTTTATAATACAAACTTCGTATTTTATTATATAAAAGGTATAAATGAAACCAGTTTGTTATATTTTAATACTTTTATTACATATTCCATTAGAATACTTTCTATTATTATCGTACATGCTCGCGTGGTCAGCACGCACTCTCCCGACTAACAGAGTATGACTGTTGACTATCTATACACATTCAGAGTATTTAATGGGGTCTATGCACCATATCTACATACAAATTAAATGCATTACGAGGAAATCAGTTCTACATGTAAATGCTTCGTGTGAAGATCGTACACTGTAAGCTCTCTAAAGAAATCTAGAAGCTGAAGTCTATGGATGTCAAGAGCTGTCACTCAAAACGATTTTCCCGCCAAAAGGTTGATAACCTCATTTTACGCGACAGTCGGAAAGCCGTTTGGATATACACCAAACATTTTAGTTTATTCCTTGTTCAGTCTATATCCAAACGATAAAAACCTCTCGGTAAAATCCCTTCAATTATGATATATTACAATTCATCGTTATCCTAAAATCCTTATCGGGTTACATTATAAATAATTCAAGCGTAAAGATATGTACAATATTTTTACAGATTACATACTCAATTAAGTACCTATTTACAAATTAGAATTCTTTATACATCATAAAAAAGATAACATACCGCTCTAAATATCACCATGAAATCAATAACTACATTCACAATAGATATATTATTATATTATTAATTAATTTCAAATAAAAATACACCTTAAAGTTCTAAATAAAGAGTAAGACGTATTACATTACAGTATTGCTTCTTTTAGTCACATTTTCCAAAATATCACCAACGGGGCCTTCGGCGCCCGACCCGATAGATTTGAATTTTGAATTTACTTCACCAAATCTATACTTTTTGTAAAAAATATTCTCATCCTATCACCGGCCACTCAGTCACCTATCATTAAGTATCTCTAACACAGAATAGACACCACATTTTAAATGAGACACATTTATGGACATATACTATAAATATCTACTTTTTTAATTACAATTTGTGCTTCTCGCTGACTTATCGTTGAGGAAACATCCTACGAATCACAATAGTATTAACATTTGTAACTGCGCTGCACATGTTACGCCGCGTCACTGCGTCTAGGGGAGCATAACATGGCTGGGCGGCTACGTGGAGGAGTGGAAACAATAAGTCAGTCTCTAGTAAACGTTCTGTTAAGTCAGCAAGAAGTTTGTTCCTAAACGGTTACGATAAGATCTACTGTTCGATTATTGCACAACACATGCAGAATGTACGTATTACGTTGACTGTAACTTTAATTAGTTTAGATTTTATTTAGACTATTTTTTTATTTTTTACTTTGTCAAGCTACTGTCTGGGATTATTTTAAGCTACATAGAACTCTGTCGCTCCGTTCTGTTAAAATGGCGTTACTACTTTACTGAAAAACACGTCTAATGGAATATTGTTGTAATTTTTTTGGGGCGGTATCATTTTTTATTTTTTTAGTTAAAGGAAGTTAGGAAAATAGTGAACATAAAAGTTTCCTTTTCCTTGACGTTTCAAGTGAGTCTAGTCAGTCTTTCTAAGTCGGCCGTGTAAAGTTCCATTTGTGCCTATGACCAGCGTTAAGAGAAAGGATTTTCAAGAGGTGTACTCGCACTTCACTGTCAGGAAAAAAGTAAAGCGCAAGTAGACCGCCTTATTCTCTAACGTGAGCGCCCATGTCTAGAGTAGGTCGCACTTTTTGGCGTCACTTGAAAGTACAAGAATCTTCTGAAAGACATCTATCTACATTGTAAATTACTCGAGATATTATTTATTAATCGGTTAACTAATTGATAAAGAATTTAAATTACAATTTCACGCCAAAACAGGGGATCTGATCTCTACAAATTTTATGTAACAACTTTAGAAGGCAGTCAGCGATAACGTGGTTCCCTAACAAGCAGAAAATATAGATTTCATTTAATTTGAAGAGTCAGATATATTAGAGGATATAAAATACAAAATTATTGCTAAATAGTGTTAGTATTGCGAAGTAAAAAGACCTTAGGTCTATAAAAGGAACAACTACAAGAATAAAATATACGTTTTTTTATTTACAAATACCTAAAATATGTAAGGATTGAACGAAATATTTGGCTAAAACTTAATAGGAATATATGGATTTTGTGATAAATAATAACATCCTACATGGTTATTTACGTATAGTTACATAGCTTGAAATAATAAATTGGTTAAAAATATATATCATTGAAATAATAAAAAAGTTAAAATTGTGATTGCGTATTGAGTATTTTGGTTCCATGATTTTATAAGTATTATGCTCAGTTAGTCACGTTATTATTATTCATTTATTATTTAACTTTATTTATTTATGACTCGGTACCCTGTAGTGAGTTGTTACGAGATTCAGTTCAGTTCAACGATGGAGGGTATAAAGCAAGTAAAGTAATGTATGAGCTTTGTAACGCATAAGTACGTGTAACGAAAAAAAACATACTTTTTAACATATATATCTTTCGGTCTCCAGTCAATCTTAACCTAACCGTAAACTAACATTACAAAACTGTTTCTCCACTCAGTCCTAGCAATAGCTCCTACTATTCGCAACCATTAGTAACACACCGATCACAGGAGCCTCACTCGTCATTCCTATTCACTTATAAACACTTCATCAGTCCTATAAAAAAATATTTAAGAACTAAATACCGGCGTTCCACATTTGAAACTGCTATTCCTAAAAGAATAGCCAGTGTCAAATCTGGAAATCAAAATGGCGTTGATTTATGGCACGTTAAAATTATGAGCGGTGTCGCGCTCTCCCACTCTTTCTTCGTTTTCTTCTGCTGTCGCGTACGAACACGATATTCGCTGGGTCGTCGGCTAGTTGAGGATACTTAGACACGGAATGGACGTCTCTGGCTACCCAGCCGTCCACAATTCCATGTGATATAAGTTCTTCTTTCTCTTCTTCCGTCCAAGAGCCTCTGCCCTCCCAGCCTGCGGCAACCAGGGCTTTCTCACGTTCCCAAGCCCTGGCTGCTGCTCGTTTATGTGCGTGCTTTAGAAGTTTGATGCGTTCTTGATTAGGATCTACACCATATCGGAGGACGATTACTGCTTGCGCTGAGCCCTTGCCAACAGCATGCACGCGGACCTAAAAAACGCAAACAAATTTTTAAGTTTCATATCAAATTAACGGTATAATATTGGATTAGTAGATAAAGAACAATAATTTACCTCTAATCCTTGATCATTAGTTTCATCTTGCGACACGTTGAATTTGCCGGAGAGCCTCCTGAGTTCCTCCAAGTCGTCTCTGATCTTTAGCGTATTGTCCTTTACGAAGTAGAATACATCTTGATCGTGGATATTGAAGTGGACGTCTAAGAAGTATGAGTTATTGAATACAGTGGTGATCACATCTTCCACGACGTTGTTTGCTCCGTCTACTACACTGATTAGTGCTTTGCCATCTACCCTTGATATCAAAACTCCTTCACCGAAAACTCCACGTTTGTATGACACTCGTGGCAGCAGGTTTCTTGTGATTGGTTCCATTTTCAGAAGTGGCGTTGGGACAAAGTTCATGTCTGCGAGTTTATGGCTTATCTGAAAAAGTAAACAATCATGTTTTAATATTCCTTACCTAGTTTTTATTTAAATCTCACTACTAGTTTTAATAAAAAAACGTAATCAAGGGAAGATTACGTACCTTTTCAATAATGCATTGTAATCCAGACAAAACTTCGAAGTCAGGAGTTAATCTTGGTGCAGTTAATTCTACTTTCGGTTGGAAGATCATATTCGTGATGTATCTTGATCCCATCATCTTGTTGAGGTCGTATCCATACAGTTGAAGCCAGCTGCCCAAGTCCGTCATGTAAGGAGTGTTCTGATTCCTATTGATTGGATCGTTATTCTTAAATCTATAGATAAAGATATCTGTAGGAAGGTGAAGCTTGCTAGCCAAATGTTCCCAGCTAGGAGTCATCCATTGACCAACAACAGGATCGTATAAACGGCCATCTAAGTAAATTAGATTGGTGTAATCATCGTATATTCCTCCCTGGAAGTCTACAGGAATATAAAACTCTGGATTCGTGTCCTTGACAATCTTTCCGAACGGCGAGCGTTTGATTTCTTTCACGATCTCTCCATTTACATCAAATACTACGAGAGGTGATCCATTTTGATCGGTAGCAACATAGAATCGCTGATCGTCGGTTTCAATGCACGTCAAGAAGTCTCTCTGATCGTATAGGTATCGTACAGTCTTTCCAGATTTCGGGAAGTGGACGTGTGTCACTAAGTTCGGTGTCTGCGGGTTGGCGTAGAAGAATTGGGTGACATTGCTCTTATCGTCCCTCCATGCTATCAATCTACTCCTGTCGTCATAATAATACCACATTTGGAACTTATCCCTTTCAGATGCATGTACGAACTGACCTCGAGAATTGTATCTATATTTTTGTTCGCCGCGTCTTATAACGAAACCTCGACCATCATAGCTGCTGTATTCCACATCACTGTACTGGACAACCCGATCCCCGATGTCGTAGCCAAGGTATCGCTTCTCTCCGTGTTCGATAACTCCGATTACGTTGCCATTCTCATCGTACACGTATTTCCAGTCGTCCTCAGATCCTACTACTTCCATCAGATGTCCGTCGTAGTTGTAACTAATTCGTTCGTTCGAAGAAGTATCGCCAATCATTGTCTTTTTCGATTTGATTCTGTTTCTTGAGTCATATTCAACTTCAAGACGGAAGACGTCGAAAGCCTTAATGTTTATCAGTATTGTCTTGACTCTGCCGCGGTCGTCGTAATCCGTAATTGTAAAGTATTGTTTACTGGTGTCCTGCATAACTGATCTATTGAACGTGTTTCGATATATTCTCAAGTCGCTGAGTGCTTCAAGGATTCCTAGGTTTTGATTGTATTTCATCCTCAGCTGTGGCATTTCTTTGCTATTGATATTAACATCAATTGTGGAAAGCCGAGCGTTGCCATCGTATTGATATTTGAAATGAGCGTTGTTCAGATTGCTCTTCGGACTGAATTTCATTTTTTGATCCTTGAGAATACCAGCGTGATATTTATAATCTTGTCTTAGTTCGTAGTCGGAATCTGTGATTTCAACATTCTTTACAAGGTGGGTGTTTTCATGGTATACGTAGCGAATAGCCGAAGCACCTGCCAGTACCATTTCTAATTTTCCACTGTTATCATACACGTACACAATTTTACCAGATTGATGAGGGAAAATTTTAGATAGAATGTTGCCATCATCATTGTATAAGATTTCGTAAGGATGACGGTTCATCGGGGAGAAATACTGATATTTGAAGTAGCCCAGTGATGTCATGAGAGCAAATGTGTGAATGTGACCTCTTGGAGTGGTTAGATTTTGTAATGCGCCGGAGTCATCGTAGTCTAGCAGATAATCGCTACCTCTTGGTGTTGTTACCTTTAATGGCAGTGACGTGAACATATCCCGGAAGGAGTAAGCTAGCGACGATCCATCTCCGTAGCGGATCTCATTCAGCCTGCCAGCTCTATCGAAACCATACGTTTCATTTAGATCACCCCAACTCCATTTAGTCAATCTGTTGAATCTGTCATAATCAAGTACCACTTCAGCGAATATTCCATTGCTGGGTCCAAACCTCACTGGTCTTGCAGTTCTATCATAAGTAACGTTCAAGAGCTCTACCTTATCGTCCATGAATACGGCAATAGTTGACGAGTCTCTGTCGTACTCTAAAGTCAGTAAGTTTTCGCCGTTTATTCTAAGTTTACGTCCAACTTGGGCGATGGATTTTCCAGTTCTTGCTTTGTTTAGAAGTTTTCGCAAGAAATATCGCCATTCGAATCTATTCGCTAAGTCGCCGCCAACTTCGGTTCGTTGTTTTGCTGGAATAGGGAAGCTTTCACCCAGAATAGGATCAATCTCAGCTAGAACAGTATAAGGCACGGTGTCGGTAGATATTACGTGACCCCAAGGCATGCTAGATGAAATACTGCTATCTGATGAAATAATAGTTTTCTGTTCTGCTTCGCCTGTACGAGTGTTAACTGAGGATCCTTTTATCAAGATTGAAATAGGCTTCTTATTGTTTTCAGTAATTCGGACAGTGGCGCCCTTGAGACTGAGATCGAAGTTCAGATTAATGATTCTACCAGTGGGGGTCACAGCGGATGTTAGACGGCCAAATTCATCATACTTGTATACGTAACTTCTTCCTGTACTGTCGTATTTTGACTTAAGTAATCCGCTTGGCCCATAATAGTCAAAGGTAACATTGAAGTTGTCAGGAGTTCTTAATTCTTGAAGCATCTTCATCCTTGACATCTTCAGCCTACATTTCTGACCCTTGGTGTTTTCGATAGAATTAACTGAGGTGGAGTAGTCTCTAAGTAGGAATACTTTGTTGCCGGCTGCATCAGTAACGGTGCTAAGCTTTCCGTTGCTTGTGTTCACGGTATAGGTGAAAACATAATTGTTTTCACCAGTTAAGATATTCCTGCTCGTTATATGCTGGCCGAATCTGTTGAAGATGTAAATTTCTTGTGTGTCGGGTGAATAGATTTCGTATTCCCTAGCGCCACTTGCGTCCGGTATGCTAGCCATTACTGATCGAATTCTGTAGTTGGCCTGATCTGCAATATGAACGATGCCATCAGGACTCACTATGACTGCTGATATGGTGTTAAACTTCGAGTTTGAGGCTAAGAAGTGATCAGCTTCGAAACAGTCACATCCCCTTTCTAAGCAATTACATTTTGATTCAGCGCCAGCATACAGAGAAATTTTGCCATCGGTGGTGATCAGACGAACTCGATTTATTCTTTGCGAGTCACTTTCAGCTACATACAGGTCTCCTGCTGAACCGAAAGCGATACTTTGCGGCATGACCAATGTTGCATATGTTGCCAACTCAACATCAATACCGGTCATGGGTGAAGGACAATGAAGAGGTCTTCCTGCAATTACTTTTACTCGACCGTCAGGTGCCATTTGTAAAATCATGTGATCATCGATGATATGCAAGCTGTTGTCTAATGGGTTGATAGCGAGTTCTGTAGGCCAACGTAAGTGGACTTCTTCAACACTAAGCGTGCCTTCACAAGGTATGGGTTTCCAATGAGCTCTATGCATGTGATTACCGATGATGGTAGTAATAATACCATCTCTGTCTACCATTCGGATATTGGTGCCATCAGCAAAATAGACAATGTTATCGATGGAAACGGCGACTCCTTTAGGATAAGCGAGCTTTGCATCTCGCGCTAATGCTCCGTCACCACAGTGAGCCTCGTCACCTGGTAGACATCTTTCTCCGGAACCGACGACAGTCTCCCAGTTGTGTTCAGGGTCGCTGAAGTCCTCGGTGTTTCGGACCCTGATGATTTGATGAGATTCTGGATCTGAGATGTACAAGTTGCCGTCAAGTGGAGATAGCGCCATGTGGTACCGATAGGAGACTCGAGTGGCACTGGAAAATAGAAATAAAATAAGTATTAATTTCATAAAAAAACCATACATTATAGAGAAACAGATTTTGTTTTAAATAAGTAATGCTTACTTCAACTTCACCACTGTTCGCACAGTTCCATCAGGGCTAATCTTCCGGACGAGATTGAAATCTCCTACGAAAATAGAACCATCAGGAGCCGCGGCTAATGCTACTGGTGCTAATAGTCGTTGCCTGGAAGCAACTCCTGAGCAATCATCTCCACATTCCAGTTCACGTTGACGGCCATCGCCCATCGTCGTTATGATCACACGAGGTTTATGTTTCAAGTAGACATTAGTTCCATCTCCCTTTTGCAAGATACCTGAAAGTGGGAAAAAGTTAAAATCAATTCACGTCGAATATTATCCTTTCACAATTTCAATTTTACTTAGGATCCAGTGTACCTAATATTTCATGTTCTAACACATTATTCTAAAACATAAATTGCGCGTATATTCAACGAGATCGATCGTTGTCATTGAAGAGGTCAAATATACTGAACCACTTAACAGATTACATGGCTTTGTACTTAGGGCTGCAAAACGGTTAGATATTCTAAAGCCCGAAACGAGATGCTTAAAGCGAGCCGTAGTGAAGGGCTTTAAACTGGGTTACGCTTACAGCTGTAGGTACGTAATCCGAAATCTACCCGCACTCAAAATAACAGAGTATTTACCTTCATGGAAGTTGTATCTATGGTGGATATCCAAATTCCAGCCACCAACATCCGATATACTCATGTCCTGCCCACTCAATTTGGTCGTTTGCACATTCCAAATGATATCCTTACAATCGGTGTATTGGTACCCAACTTTCACAAGTGCTGTCGTAACACCGTATACTCTTTGCTTGTAAACATTGAGGCGGTTCCAGGGATATGTGAACTTAATAACTGGATCAGCTTCGAAAGTTTTCTTGAAGAGGATACCTTCTATTGTTATTCTAAGGTGGATAAGAGCCAAAGTAGATGGTATTTTTTCGGGAGTAAGTTGGAGTTGGATGGTGGAAAGATAGCCAGCTGCCCTAGAACTGTGATATACTAGATGCAAACCAGTTCCCGGGATTTCAAGACTTTCTTGGATGACCTGGAAAGACATTACAATCAATTAATTATTCATATTATTAAATCAAACGCTGCTCCGTGATTCAATGAGATTACGGTCGAAAAGGAGATAAAAGATTTTATATAAATCGTACTTGTGACTCAGCCAAAATAGCGCTCTTGTCGGGACAAGCTCCCTGGAAGCCGTGTTTCCATGTGGCCAGGACGACTGGTTTCATCGTATCATAGTCATGAGCAAGGCAGGCTTGGGGAGGACCCATGTTGATCTTCTCATCCATTGTCGTCATTAGAACTGTGTCGATAATAACAACCTGAAAAAAAAATGAGTTCACCTTGAAGAAACTGACATTTTAAAATCACGATCACGATAACTTTGACTAAAACTAATTATTGTATTCTACTTATAGAAATAATGAAAACAATCGTGGCTATTTTTGAAACGACTGTTTTCCCTCTGTATTTTAATAAAAATATCTTGCTGTGTTTATAACTTACTTAGTGATGAAAATCCAAGTTAAAGTATACTCAGTAAAATATTGGATTTAAAACGCCATAAGGCATAAGCGTGTTTTAAATAAAGTTTTAAGAAAAATAATTGAGTCATAAAAATTTTAACGTCCTAACGTTAATCGCAGTCTTGCATGTTTGAATTCAGAAAAAATAAAATAGCCTGTACGAAGTACACTCGAAGTTGTTGGAATATTTAAAGACTGAATCAAGCTTGTCTAGAATCGAGCTACGGTTTTATATGAGCGTTACAACATAAAGAGGACTCGAATTAAAATTTCAGGAGGTTATTCCAGATCCAGATCAATATAAGTACTGGCTATAAAAGTTTTAGACAAAAGTTTTCACATTCTATAACACTTGAGTAATATAATTACCTCATTCCAAGGCACGTAGACGACCTTCGTAGCCCTTTTAAATGGCGCTCTTCCAAAGTTCAATGTGACAGCGCCACCACCATTCACGAGGAGGTCGAACCAGCCATCTTCTCTGGTCAGAGTGAACCCTTCGAGAGGAGTGTCAGTGGACACTCTGACACCAACCAGACCAGTTCCAAGTAAGGTAACAACTCGACCACGGACCACAGCTGAACGACTGGAAATTCAGGTGATGTATTCATTAGTATAACGTAACCATGTTGGTGACATATTGACCAATGTTGGCCATTGGCGTCAATTAGAAAGATGTTGGTGATTTATTTGATTCGATCTTTCAAAGGAATATTCTAGTTACTATGAGTGAAAGACTAGTATAAAATTACATGGGACTAGTGAATTATTTTTGTTATGTGTGATCTACTTTGTCTATCAAACAAATGGTGATTTAACTAAGGGACTAAAGTATTAAATAGAAGGGATTATTTTATAAGAATTTCATTCGGATCAAAACCGTTCGAATTGAAGCTCACAATTTGTAAAGGGTATAATTGTAATAAGTATGTCAAACATCTTTCTACGAATGTATACTTTTGTAGAAGACTTAAGTAAAGTGTTTCTCAATGGTGGTTCTCTATTAAACGTCATAGAATATAATTACAAACATTTAAATAAAAAGCGAACACAAATTCACAGGACACAATAGTAGGTAGCTAAATACTATAGTGGCACAACATGCATAACACAGATACATAGAATAAGTATAGTATGTCGCCAATTAAATACATATGTATATACTGTAGTATATTATAGAACTCGCAGATAAACTCTAAGTTAAACAAACACTATCCTACGTTCGATTCACAAGTCTTACCTCGAGTTGAAGTGGTTCCAAAACATACTGCGCAGCGTTAGAAAAACCGAGAGAAATGACAGAATGAGTAAGTATTATTATTGTGTTAAATAATATTAATTTAGAAACAAGGAAGCTCGGAAACATTAGTAACAGCGACGTTGGTACGTGTATCACATGCAGTGTCGATCTTCTAGATTTAGTTGTTTTAGTACAAATAAATACGTTTGTTTCATATATGTAAGTGTAAGAAAAGAAAGAAAGCATTGTGGTACACTCTTATAATGTAAATAAAACAATGGGATCGACTGGGGCACAACATTGCGTATCTTATATAACAAATATTTATATAATGTTTGTTGGCTTAGGATTAGCCGACAAACTAAACATTAGCTAGTTATTATTTTACGCTTAACCCTAACAGATAACACCGAACATCCAGCCACTCACCTTTCGTTGAAGTTCTCCTGCTTTGCGTAGTTTTGAAGGCTACCTTCATCAATGATGAACTTCATCCTCTCGAAGAATGATGCAGTGATCGCGGGAGGTTGTTTCCTAAGGAGAATATCTGTAGGCTTCGGTGACGACACACAGAGCTGACTACCTTTGCAAATGGGGCTTAAGCAGCACTCTGGATCCTCGCAGTCGACAAGGCCATCTAAACAGAATAAATATAAATGTTAACTTTATATGTACATAACATTAATAATACTCGGCCTTGGAAGAAGCACATACCTTTGTCATTATCTTTTCCATCGTCACAGATTTGTTCTTTGAGGGTCGTGCAGTCTGGACCGTCCCATCCATCGAAGCACTTGCAGGACCATTGACCGTCGTTTGCGACTTTACACTGTCCGTGACCAGCGCACCCTCGTGGACAGCCTTCCAACGTGCAATGACGGCCATTCCAACCAGACACGCAGAGACAAGTACCATTCTTGCATTGACCGTGGTCGCTACAACGAGCATCACACAGCTTGGATGTACAAAATTCTCCAGTCCAACCAGGGTCACATACGCAGGATTCTCCCACACATCTTCCGTGTAAACCACAATCAAGATCACAAATCTCTGTAAAACAAAAAGTAATATTGAATCATCGATTGTAATTTTTATATTAACACTAGAAAAATATTAAGGAAACATACCTTTAGAACAGTCATCACCGGACCATCTTGCGTGACAAGTGCATGTTTGCGTATCAACGTCGAAGGTTCCATGTCCAGAACAGTCAGGTAGACATTGAAGAGCGTCCTTATCCATTGTAGCGCAGTCAACACCTTTCCAACCTTTCTTGCAGATACAGGACCCCTCGATGCAGAAACCGTGGCCGGAGCAAGTTGGGTGAGGGCAGTCGATGTCTCCACAGAATTTGCCTTTATATCCTCTAACACAAGAACATTTTCCGTTGACACAATGGCCATGCCCGTTGCAATCGGGGACCTCGCATTCATCATGTCGAAGGGAACATTCTTTGCCTTTCCATCCTGGGTTACATTGACACTCGCCGTTGATGTACTCGCCTCGTTGACTACATAGAACTGGACATACACCTTGAAAATAAAAGTATATTTAAGAAAATGTTGAGGGAAACTTCAAATTATTTCGTTGATCATTGGTTTGTGTTGTGTACTTACTCTTGCTACAATCATCTCCACCGAAACCAGCCTGGCACTGACAATGACCCATGAGACATTCTCCTTTCCCTGAGCATCCGTTAGGACAGTTGTGCGTCATTTCATCAGCTATCATTGCAATGAATGAGATTTCTTGTGGGTCGCCATCGTCGTTGTACAGAGATAAGAACCAGTGACCTTGTTCCATATAGTGAGTTACTTCTTTCTTGATGGAAGGCTGCAAATTAAAGGCCTAAGTGAAAGTGTATTCCTTGTCATCTAGATAAACACAATTTATTCATACTCTATTCATGATAGAAGCTTACATGTGACGTTCTTGTTGTTCTCGCCTTGAAACCGCTGAGAACTTCCAAGATATGATACTGTGTGTGAGTCGGCAAAGCGTTTCTTCTCGCGTACACGCCTATAGAAGCACCTCGGGGTATCATGTAGTCGAACTTTACGTAACTTGCTTGAGTTTGATAAAACTGCATATTCCAGTAGCTATATGGAGGGATTTCTTTTGATAATTTTTCACCTAAAGTAATTTGTTTGAACGTCGTTCCGTCTGGTGGAAATGTTTGCGCGGGGAACGTTCGCGCACCTAGAAAACACAAACATGTTAGTTTACCAGTAACGTTCCATAATAATTGTACGACATGCGATAATGTGATGAATTGTCGTATGCTCTGTTAAACTAATATTTATAAAAACGACTACCCATTTACTTGTTATTAAAGCACATGCAACTGAAAATTATGATGCTGTAACATATAAAGTACCCTTGCAACCAGTGATCAACATGCATATTAGTTTGTTATACACATTTTTGTATTTGTACATAGAACCCCTAAGCAGTGATGAATTTCGTGACCGTTAGTAAGTTATCTCTGACTTTTATTGAAGGTCTACCTCACCTTCCAGTATAAGAATGGGTGGAGGCTGAATTTTTGGGCAAACGCATTTTGGTGATTCGGTTGTGGTGGAAAGTTCAGTTTCAATTGTGGTTTCTGTTGTTGGGTCATCTGTTGTGGAAATAGTTTCCTCCGTAGTTGACATTTCCATTTCAGTACTCATTTCAGAGGTTGAGTCAGTAGAAAATGTTACTGCCTCCGTAGTACTTGATAACTTCGTCAGATCCTCAGTTGTCGATTCTGTTAAGTTGGATTGGTCAGTACTTGATATTTGATCTACTACAGTCGATGAATCAAATCTTGAGGAGGCTGTTGTCGGACCATTTTCTGTTGCTTCATCATAAAACATGTCATCAGTTGCATTGCTGATGCAAGCTGGACATGAACATTCACAGCTTCCACCTTTCTCACTATCGTCATCTGTAGGTTTATTGACTTTGGTGGCACCTTCTAAAGTAATAGGTTTGTTGAAATTTGATGCTTGCGTTGGTTCTACATCCATTGGAGTAACTTTGACAGTTGGTATCTCATTTGAGTCTCCAACTGTTGGAACGGTTAAAGTTAAAGAATAAAGCTGTTTAAATGATGAACTCTCTGCATCATCAGCAGATATTGTTAGGTTAATTAACACATGTTTAGGATTAGTCACATCAGGGAATTTAGTATCAACAGTATTTACAGTAGAATTTTCATCAGCATTTGTTGCACTGGTAGTAGTCGTATATGTACTATTAGTAACACTCAGTGTTGGTGTTGTTGTAACAACATGCTCATTGTGCGTAGTAAAAATATTTGTGGTGTTAAGCATTATTTTTGTTGTTATAGTTTTTTCATTCGAACTTGTTGTTAAAGGCACTTCAGTTGTTGATTTAGTTGTCGTAATGCCTTCATTAGTTGATTTAGTTGTCGTAGTATCTTCCGAAGTTGATTTAGTTGTCGTCTTAGCCTCAGTAGTCTCTTCAGCTGCTATTTTTGGTTTATTTGTTGTTGACGTAGTTTTTGACCCAGTATTTTCACTATCGTAATGAAACTTTTCCAAATCTTTGTCCATATCAGATGAATCATTGGAATAAATGTGGAGAACTTCTTTAATTTTTTCTAATTGATTTTGGATTTTAAAGAAATTAAGTTTCTCCATACCGTATGGACGAATCAATGAAAACGAATCACCTTGCATATCTTCAGGTTCATAAGCGACATTATCTTTCTCAGATTTTGTTGGCGTATTAACGTCATTATTTATTTCTTCTGGGTATTCTATATGAGTCTCTTTAACTTTGTTAGTCACTTGAGTTGTTATTTTAGCAGTTGTGGAAGCAATAGAAGTTGTTTCAATTGCTTTCGTTGTTAAGTGTTCAGTAGTTTTTGAAGTAGTTGTCATCGGAGTTTTTGGCGGTTCCGTACTCGTAGAAAGCCCAAGATTATTTGTTAGATTACCAGTGTTAACCGACACATTATTAACATTGCTAGACATAAAAGCATTGTTAGAACCCACGTTGATTTCTTCGTCCCGCTGAGTGGTGATTTCTTCAGCCACACCATGCACTAAGCTAACAGTGTTCACAGAATTGTTTATATCATGCATATTTACGGCGGTGGAAGAATCCTCGGAAGGAACAGATTGAGGTAAAGAAGAAGCATGCCCATCTACTACATCTACACTTCTACGATGGCGGGAGTGATGTTCCTCTTTACCTGTGCCAATGGTTGGCAAACTTTGATGCGGCCTCGCCATTGTTTTGTTGGCGAACTCCAGTGATGTTGCTTTTGATGCCGGAAACACTTCTGTTGGTTCCCCGACGACTACTGTACATGATTTGGGGTTTTGATACGTCCAGTTAACAAAATACGACGCTGTGAACAAAATATAAAAAATAATGAACCCTGAATTAAAAATACTGGCCACTGTAAAAAAAAACAAGTTACAGTTTATATCATTAAGTGAGGTACCAGCATTGGGAGTTCTTTGAAGAAAAATGTATTTCCGTTGCTGTCATAAAGGGAAATTTATTTTTGAATCCAATTTTATTAAGAGTAGGGCTAATATTGGAATATTTGACTAAAAATTTTAGGTAGTGCAAAATTGTTTGATAAATCTTACCTGTAATATAAGACGCGATGGCTAACAATACAACAAATAGTATTATAAATACAATAGCGGTACACTTCCACGAGCACCTTGAAGACAGGCCTTTTCGAAAGTGAAACCGTGAACCGGCTGAGGGAAAGTTCGAGGATCGAAGGTTATTCCTAACAGGAAGGACTGGAACTGGGGTACCGAAGGTCGGGTGCGGCCGGTCTGACCGCTCCATTCTTTCTAACGTGCTCTTTTCTGGCTTGCCCGGACTACTACACGATGAGTTTGACTTGTAGTCCATAGACGGATTCTTTTGAATATCCCCTGAAATAAAATTTCGGTTAGATGTGGTCGTCCATACTTTAAATAAGTTTTGATTTTATTTTATTGTGTTTCAAGATTATCAAGATTATTCAAGACATTAAAATTACCTATAGTATCTTATGGACTAATAATTTTCATTTTATCAACAGGAATAAAATCCGTTCCTACATTAATTACAATGGCATATTGTAGGTGTTTGCGTTTGTGTATGTGTGTGTGTTTGTGTACTTATTCTAAAAAAGAAGTCAAAAAGGTTCTAACATTCACCTGAAGGCACGTAGAAGTTACCGGAGGGTGTGCGAACGAGGCAGGAGGGTTCGAAGTCGCCTAAATCCGCAGGGTTCCCGGTGATGCGACCGTTCAGCCGAGACATGGTCGGGTTGCGAGGCGGCACATCGGGCGGGAGACGCGAACCTTCCAGTAGACACCCTGAGAAAGAAACAACATATTAAATATCTTTGATCCATAAAAATACCTAACTGAAATGATTATATTTCTTCATAACTCTCATCCAAGCTTATTGTTTAAGAAAGTCAATACAATCAAACACAGCTTACACAGAAAGTCGTTGAAAACTTTGAAATATAAAAATAAGGCTCCAACAATAACGAGAATCGGAACAAACGAATGAAAAAATTCGAGCTCTTGCACGTTTATTGCTGTTAAAATAAAACAACCCTTTTAAAAGTTACGATAAATAAAGCCCAGTCTCTGTCTTGGACGCTTGTGGCAGTTTTGCTTCGTCGATAAAAAAACAACATGTATATAAGAGTGGAGTTCAATAAGATAAAGAAATATATTGACACACTCAAGGACCTACGTATGTTATATGTACACAAAGCACCGCTAATTAGTTCGAGGCGCTACACATCGACATTACTATCATTTACACAGTGAACATGTGTGGGTAATTTCATATTAATAGATATGTATAGAAACATTCGTTCTATCACACACATCTTGGTATTACATATCATTTTTGTGTCGGTATACGTAATATTTTAGTAAATAAGTTTAAATAAAAACGAGGGTAAAGATAAAAATACTCATAACAAACTTTGAATAAATCGAAATCAAAAATAATGAACGATCGAGCAATACAATACTTATATAAATATAGTGCATTCTCATTGTATTTTTATGTTACTGAATGATATACAATATTTCGATGTTCTCATCTACGGCGCGCTTGGCGCAATGGTTATCGCCTCCAGTGGTCAAGTAAAGTGCCACCGGATCGATTCCAGCATTCACATGTTGTTTTAGTATTAATTAATCAAATATTTGAAATGTGAAATTAGAAACAATTAAATCTTTTCTTTTTTTCCTATCCTATTTTTCTAAATCTTATGTTAATTTTAATAGTAAATACTTTAGATTTATTTATACCTATAATATCCTTTATTTATATTTTAGTTCTAGTTATTTATTATTTAGAATAATTTAGAATGATTGGAAGAACTTTAAAGTTAACATGTGGTATATAATTAATTATTAGATATAAATATTGAATATAAAACCACATATTTGTATAATTAATAAATTAATTTTAATAAAAAATAGTATTGTTTTATTTACCGACTGATTTGCTTCTTTTATAGCCTGATATTTATATTATATGACAAAAAACAAAAAAAAAATAAATAAGAAAAACAACAAGGTAAAATAAAAAAAAACTTTTAGCTGGAATAGAACCCACATCATCATTGATCCTTGAAAGACGATAAAAGCGTACTCATTAACCAATCGACCACGAGCACTACGATAATTACAGTGAAAATGTCGGGTCATATCAATGATTGTAAATAGTTTTAACCTTACCCATGCATTAAATTATAAAAATACGTATACCGACACAAGAATGAAAATACCAATGTGAACGTGGTGGACGAATATTTTTATACACAGTAATATGAAATTACCCACACATGTACATTGTGTAAATGACAGTAGTGTCGATGTGAGCGTTACGAACTAATTAGCGGTGCTTTGTGTACTTATTGCCTAACTTCGCTACTATATAACTCGCAAAACAAAACAAAATTTACTTATACAATTCAATGGAATTAACGTACCAGAACTTGGTCTTCATTACTACCGATAATCTGTTATCAAATGCCGTCATTTGTAAAGTTAAAGGCTTTTACAAAATTAATCAGCATGCTCCAGCGGTCGTGGCGGAGGCATTAGCACAGGGAAAAATTTAATTAATTCCATCCACGAAAATTTACAAGTTGAAATTCAATTAGGGGCGAATATTGCTCACCGTAATGGCCCGTAAACAAATAACCGTGGATAGGCTCATGCAAATGGATCAAAGATCGCGTGTTTCGGCTGTTCTTTATAAGGAAAATATATTAGATCGGGAGCTATTGGTCTAACCGCGGGGCGCGGCGGACTCTCCCATCGCTAATATAAGCTAATGGAAAATCGAAGTATTATCTGTGGCCCCGCGCCCTCGACGCCTCTTATCGGCCCACCATAACATCCAACTTTTGATCCTCTACGAATTTTAAAGATTCCTTCGAGCGTTAATTAATTTATTGTACCTCCCGATGTAGCCGCAAGAAAACTCAATTAATTTTAAAAGGGTTTTTGTGTTGTTTTTTTCGCAATCGATCTCCCCACCCTCTCGATCACTACCGAAATGAAAATGGTGAACTTCTCGACAATATCGTCAGCCGCCTTTTGTGGTCTCGCCCTTTGATACCATTCTTTTCTTAGCAATTAGAGATTAATGAGTTTCATTGAACTTTCATAGAACGCACTTTAATTTGCAGTAGTTATATATCCTGAAAATGTAGGCTTTACTTTTTATTGTGAAAAACTGATTAACAAAATATATAGCTAAGTACAAATGTAATCACTTCTCTCGCAATGTAAGATCATAAACATGGGATCGATGATGGTATATCTCATTCTGCTTTACAACTACCACTAAGCGCATTCTAAACGTTGTAATTTGTCGTAAGGGTCGATGAGGAAGGACAAATGCGGTAAGTCGAGCGCAGCGAACAGTCGATCCATCCTATTCTGCCGCCACAGCCAATGAAAAAACTAAATCACCAAATCCCTTACCTAATTTAGGAGGACAAGCATAGTCATTAATACACACGTCAGTCGTCGTGCTACTACAAAATGTGGCCCATTTATATCCCGTCTCGGGGCCTGGGAATTATGGTAATCGGACGAGTCGTGTCCTTTGTCTGTAATGGTTGGTAATTACCGAGGCACCTCCGGGGGCACTTCGTCTACTGGAGGGGCCCACCGGCTCGGAGAATTCGACACTCTTTACGCGAATCGTCTCAACTTTAAAAAGGGAACGCGATTTTGAATGCCGTCATGGGATTTGTCGTTGCGCACCCGGAACAAACTCACCTTTTTTCCCTCTTTTTTACTTTTACCAAAATTATCTCCCACATAGCTCACTGATTGGACCTTTTTAACTTTGTTTACGTAGGAAAATCGGTATTTTTTACTACCAACCCAGACTTTTCGGCGCTCACTTTTACTATCCCATATTATTTATTGAGACTACACTATGCATAAAACTGAATAACAATCAGATAGAGGCCACTATCCATATTCCGGTTCGTTTATTTTTATATTTTTCGAGCCATCTGGCATCCGATCTCCTATTTTCCGTTTAGGATCCGTATTTTCTTTCGAAGAAATCCAAAGCTCGGTTACTTATTGGAAGATAAAGGGGGTGTGTTTCGGCTCATTTGCGGCCGAGCTCGGGCCGAACAAACGTGATTTCTTATTGGAAACGGAAAAGAAACAGACCGACTTGTAATAGAGTAACTGCGGTTTACTCGCCAGTAAGTTTCACAAGAGAGGTTAATTCCTTGTCCATTATTCCAGCTTACATTAACATTCGAACATTTTTTCTATTATATTACGAGCATCGGTGGAAGAAAGGTATTACTTTATAATACAAGAAAGTAATTTCGGCGCACATGTTGGCAGCCAGGCACAAACTGTCTAGTATATATCTCTCGGCAGGTAGTTTCATAACCTGCGACGTTGATGTATGAGACGTAAAGCACATTCACGTGTAAGACGCACACCGATAGAAACGAGATACATTTGGGCAATCTCTGAAGGCAAGAGACGCGGCGGCAACACGTGCTCACAATCTTAAACTCGTTACACGAACATTCCCGAAGCAATTTAGAATTTACCCCTTAATCTTGATCCTAACTCGAATTGAGAACATACATGCAAGAGGATCCTTATTTACGTAGATTAATATCAAAGATAAGTGTACGTATCGGCATTCCACAGTTGGGAATAGTGGTCCAGTAAAACACTTAAGCCATACGTTCTCGGTGGCGCCGATTCCCCAATTTCGATTTTAAATTTAGCACCAAAGTTGGACCCGTGCAATATTTATATGAGAGAGCGGTGCTGCGATTTATAGTTGGGAAACAATCGGGAACTTGGTCCGGCGTCGTCGTGACTTCGTTTTAATTAGTACCCATTCATCGTTGAACAATCGAGTGCTCGAACAAATCCATTATCGGGAACTTTTCGATAGTCGAAAGAGGTGTATTCAAAGTTTTGCGATTGCAAAGGGATCGAGCACGAGGGCTTTTGTGAATCTTACATTCTGATGCCCGAGAACTGTCTTCCGAGAGATTCTCTCCATTATACAATCTATAAAATAAAAGTACTCGATATTCAATAGATCCGCTCTGAAAACGTATTTTTTATTATTACGGCTTTGAAGAATTGGGTTTTCTTATAATTTCCTTTACGTTCGATATCGGAAGGTTTAGCCAGCATTATCGAAAAATTCAGAGGCATTAACGAAATTCAGCAGTTCGGGAAAGGAAAGGAAGGCCACCGCTATCTCCCTGCTACAAGTGGAATGGGCTTGCGTAATGACATTACGCGTACATTTTAATCGATGGCTCACGGTTGGCCGGAGCCCAATGCTGTATACATAAGCTTATCTGTACTGTACATAGACGGATCCATTCTATTAAAATTGATTGATTAACTTCCCACATTGGTTTGAAATTGTAAAACAGTCGTACAAATAGCAGTTAAGTATATTCGACACATGTAGTATTCGACGCGTTCGTGGTGCGTGCCTGTACGGGTGACGACGAATGTAAATCTATAGCGCGGGCCATGTATCATGTCAAGACGCGGCGGCCGGCTGCCACGCTGATAAGATTACCAGACAAAGGAAGTCCACCCATATCACTACCACCACGACCGCTAAATGTGAACCTTCATTTACTACCCCTTTTGCTAACGTAACTAATCTCAATTTTAACACAAAAGCTTTAGAGTCGACATTGTCTCGTACGGTCTTTATTAGTGTCCTGACGTCAACGTCTGCTTCGTTAAAGGACACTCAGCTTTATTTATGTTGACATACTGGCAATGTTGCCTTATTTGTTGTTGACTATTCCTAT